CGCCATGGGTCGGGCGCCCGGGGTGAGGCCCAGCATGTCCTGGATGGCCTTGGGCGCGTACTCCTTTGTGCCGCGGAAGACGTAGCTCTTGGGGCAGGCCTCGTAGCCGAGCTCGTGCACCTGGGCCATGGTGCCATAAGTGATGAGGCCGACCAGGGCGTTTGGCGGCAGCAGGCTGAGGCTGACGACAAGCGCCTCGCGCAGCGCCTTGAGGTCGTCATCGTCCATGCACGTGTCGACGACGTAGAGGAAGATGGGCGGGATCTGGGCGGCACGGCTCAGCGTGTACTCGATGGTGGTGTACTTGGGGAGCAGTTCGGCCGGCAGATTGGTGTTGCTGATGTCTTTGTAGTGCGGAGGGAAGGCGTTGCGCGAGAGGCAGAAGGGGCAGATCCAGAGCTTGCCTCGAACGTCGATTTGGCTGAGGAGGGGGGAAAGCAGGAGTGAAGATGGTCGAAGGCGGTCAGACGCCGCTCCTTTTGGCAGCAGTGGTGCTCGTACCGCCTAGGGTCGGCGGCCACTCACCAGTAGGGGTTCAGGACGGCGCGGCATGGCGGCTTGCAGGTGACGGGCTCGTACAGGACGGGCGGCAGGTCCTCTCTCTCCTTGAGGGGCGTGTAGAGAGCGCTGATGGGCACCACGGTCCTGGTAGCCTCGATGCGCGACGAAGGCCAGACGTTCCACGAGAGGCGGACACCATCGCGGTCCTCGACGTCGTCGACGTTCATGATCGGTTCAGGTTTCGTTAGGAGGCGGAAGGACGTGAAAGAAGTGGCGGTGTTGACGCTGATGCTGAGCGTAGGAAGTGGCCTGCGGCGGGCGAGTTGGTGAGGTCGACGACGGCAACGACCAGCGAGAGGGGGAGACAGACGACGAGGAGTGGGCCGAGGTGCGAAGTCGAGGTGGTGGAAGAAAGCGAGCGCGATAGGTACGGGCAGTCAGTCGGGCGGGGTGGCTGGCCCACAGCCGTCTAGACACGTCGCAGCCGACCGACTGACCGACCGACTGGCCGACAGCTGGCTGGGCGGGGGCAGGCAGCGGCGGTGGGGTCGTTGCCTGCTGGCCAGCAAGCCAGCGGGCGGGCGGGCGTGCGAGCGTGCGTGGCAGAGGCCGAGGCCCTCGCTCTCAGCCCCGCCCCGAGCTTGGCCTGGCCTGGCCTGGCCTGGCCTGTGCTTTTCCGCTTCTTCCCGTCGATGGGTGGGCCAGCCGGCCAGCCAGCCAGCCAGCCAGCTTGCTTGCTCTGCTGGCATGGAGACTCGGACAGCCCGCGCGCTCGCACGAGAGACATCTAGATAGGAGCGCAGTGGAGGTTGGCTGCAGCCAGCCTCAGACGCCGGCCTGACCGCCAGGACCCCGCGCTCAACCCTGGCCTGGACCTGGACCACCCCTGCTCGCTCCCATAGCGGTACCACCCTCACTCTGCCCAACCCATCCACGCTGACTTTTGTCTCGTTACTTCAATCTCCATTGGCCATATCTAGACCACCTCCACACTCCTCCAGATGAACCGAAACGCCAGCTCCTTGCCCACCAGATTATATTTGCTCAGGACGACACCAACCTTCCGCCAGGACCGCCTCGACAACCCGGACGACTTACAGGCTTGCTTGGCCAGCTCACGATAGGCGACCGGCGCATCTGGACATGTTGAACAGCCGCCGCCGTCACGCAGCGACATAGCAGCCTGCAGCTAGCATAGAGAGGGACGGGCAACAGCGGCAACAAGGCATAATCACACAGATGCCACACGAGACCGCCGAAGAGAGGGTGAGCCATGCATCTGTGAGCCCCCGGTCGGTGGCGAGCGCAGCGGAAGGACCTGACGACTGTCCGATCTTGTTCGCTCCGTTCTTTTCCAGGCCGAGAGGCAGGCCCGTCTCTCACGAGCCATGGGTGCTATGTTCCTTCAGGACAAGGTCGAGCGCCTCGAGCGCGATGTGCAGCATCCGCCCTTCTCCCGCGGCATGGCACGATCCCGTAGCGGACCCAACCACGCTCGCCGCCTGGCACAGCCCAGCCAGCCCCCTTCCGCTCCGTTTGAGGGCAGCGTTCGGGTCATGACCCGATCCTCTACGGGCCCGGGAATAATTCGACTGCCCGCCGACGCCGACGTGGCACCAAGAGCAGCCATAGCGCTACCGACCAAGCTCTACCTGCTTGACACGAGCGTCCTGGTCTACTCGCTGCGTACCGTCCATGAATGGCTCAAAGATCCTCGCATCCAGCTGGTCATTCCACTTGAAGGTAAGCAACGGCGCCTGTTCTCCACCACTGTCTGCCGAGACGCTGACACGGCCTCGCAATGACCCGCCTGGCCGCTTCAGCCATCAACAATCTGGACCTTCTCAAGAAGGGCAACGAGCCGGTCAACGTTGCCGCACGGAAGGCCACTCGTTTTCTCGAGGAGAAGATGCAGCCGGGACCGCGCCAAGCCGGAAATGCCGGGCTCTTTTGCCAGAAGGAGCTTGAGCGGGCCGACCTCTCCCGTCTGGAAGCAAGGAGAAGGGTGATCCGCGAAACCGAAAGAGCAAGCGCGCCCCAGGAAGGCCTTCAGGGAGCTTCGCTCGAAGCAACAGAGCCGGGCGATGACACGGACGAGGCGACGTCGGACGAGGACATCCATTCACCGGGGTTGTGTCCCCGGTTCATCGCCGAGCTGCTGAGCGCGGCCGTCTACTTTGACGAGCTCTTGGCCGGCGGCGCCCAACCTGGCCCTTCGAGAAAACAGGACTTGTCGATCGCAGTCGCGTTCGACGAAGAGTTGCCATCGACCGAGACGCTGCGCGACAAAGTTGCGTACGCCGAACGGGCCGATGGTCGACTGAGCGCAGAATGGCTGAGAGCGCTTGGCCTCGAAGTCCAGGCGCTGCCCGTCGGCAGATCCTGGAGGGGCCAGCAAGGTGCCCGGCCCTCTGGCCCTTCTGCCGCAGACGTTGCTGATGCGCCCATGATTCTCAAGAGACCCGCCGCGACGGGAGCAGATCGGACGATGCCGAACCCGTCGGCCGCACCCGAAGGCATCCTGGTGCCACCCGTCGGCTCGGTCCGAAAGCAGCCCTCTCTGCAGCAAACGCTCAGGCCTTCAACGAGCGCGCTCGATACTTCGACCCCCAACGCCGCCGGCGGATCGCCCAGGTTTGGCCACGTCTCGATCCTCAAGTCGCGGGCAGCGGTCAACCGCAGCCAGGACTCGTTCCAGAGCCAGGGCACCAGCGTACATTCGCCACTGGTGGCGTCGCGCAATGCATCGACCACGAGCCTGTCGCGTCCGTCGTTTGAGCTGCTCTCCAACGAGGGCGACGTCGACGACACTGCCAGCAGCAGCACCAGCAGCCGCAACCTGGGCATGACGCGGATCGGCAGCAGGGCCAAGGTGTCCAGCAGCAAGACGGCAGCCGAACGCATGGAAGAGTACCTGAAGAGCCTGTCGTAGAGAGAGATGCTCGACCTGGCACACGGGGACGAGGAGCGTCTGCTCGCTCAGATGCAGGGCCCGAGGCGGATCTGGCAAGGTCATGGTGCGGACGAAGGTTGGTACAATATACAAGAATGGATGATCGCACAGAGCGAGAGATCTTTTGCGATCAGCGAGGCTAGAGCGGCGGACGCGGCAGAGCCAGCGGAGACGACGTTGTCGACGCAGACGGACGGCAGTGGCGATGAATGCCATGCTTGGAATGCTCCGCCCGGCAGGTCGTGCGAGGAGCCTCGATCGCTACCGTGGCGGCTCGGTTGAGACGTTTGCGAGAGAGTCTTGAAGCGTCGCCGACTGTACGGATCGATGCGATCGAGGTCATGCCGAGGTGGTAGGTTCCGGTGCGTTGCGTCCGACCTTTTTGCCCTCCAACCGAAGCTGCCTGAGGCGGAGTGCGAGGACGTCGCGGAGGCCGATGCCCCACTGTCCGAGCTTGTTGTCCTTTGTGTTTGCGAGGTAGTAGTCGAGTCCGCCCATCTTGTCGATGGTCCTGAGTGCGCTGGTGGTGACGCGGGCGGTGACGTGGGTGTCGAGGACGTCGGACCAGAGCTTCTTTGACTGGACGTTGGGTGCCCAGGTCCTTGCCGTCTTTTGGCGCGACTTGGGGACGTTGTGGCCGGACTGGAGCGTCTTGCCGTCGTAGAGGCCGCGCTGGGAGCGTTTAAAGGTCTGGCCCATCTGGGATGCCTTGGCAAACGTGGGGCGCGAGTTGGGCGACGAGTAGGCAGAGGTGCGCGACGAGGATCCCGCTCCGGATCCGCGAGAGCCGCGGTAGGTGGTTCGAGAACCGAACCGGACGAGGGAGGCGAACATGTCGAGGAGGACCAGAAGAGGGGTCGGATGGAGGAGGTTTTTGCTCGCCGTGCGTGTGTGGTGCGGTTGGCGGCGAGGGGTAGGGCGATAGGTGGAAGTGAAAGGTGAACGGTGAGAACCAAGGCAGCGGCGGCGGTTCTTCGTCCCCGCCTGCCCACCCTCTGCTGCTGGTCCGCTCGGATGACCTCGGGAGACGGGCAAGAAAAGTTGCGGGCGGGGGTGCGAGCGTGCATGCAGGCTCCGGCTAACGAGGTGGAATTTTTCTCGGCCCCTCCCCCCGTGCCATAGCCCAACCTTCACCACCACCCCCGCCAACCGGTATCGCCACCACCACTCGCCACTGCGCTCCTCTCGCACGCTTGTCTTGTTCTGACACGCTCGATCCACATCCCACATCAGCTGAATCATCGGGCACGACGACATTATGGTGAGCCTCGTTCTGACAGCACGAGTTCTGCGCGGCTCTCGGGCCCACTGACCGCCTTCTTCCTCTGCTGCCGCTGCTGCCAAACCCCTCGACCGGCCGATCGGACAGCTGCGAAGACAGACGCGCGAGAGGCGCGAGTACATCTACAAGAAGGCGCTCGAGGCCAAGGAGAAGCAGATCTACGAGCGCAAGCAGCGGATCCGCGAGGCGCTGGCGAGCGGAAAGCCCATCCCGCAGGACCTCAAGGGCCAAGAGGCCGAGCTGCTCGGAAAGGACCTCAACCTCGACGCTGCACAGGAACGTGAGTGCCTACCCCCACGGTTCAGGATGCAGTGCGCGGCGGGCGACCCGGTCGCAACGGGTGCAAGGCCTGCGGCGATGTCCCACCGGCCAGCGAGGGACGGTACTGACGCTTTCCCGTGTCTATTCCTTCTCCTTTGACCGCCTCGCAGTGCCGTCGCAGTCCATCGACGACGAGTACTCTCGTGCGGGGCAGTACGATCCCAAGGTGCTCATCACGACGTCGCGCGACCCGTCGTCGCGGCTAACGCAGTTTGCAAAGGAGCTGCGCCTGTGCTTTCCCAACTCGACGCGCCTCAACCGCGGTGCCTACACGGTCAACGACCTGGGCGCCGCCTGCCGCGCCAACAACCTCACCGACCTGGTCGTCGTGCACGAGCACCGCGGCGTGCCCGATGCGCTCGTCGTCTCCCACTTCCCGCACGGCCCCACGCTCCTGTTTACGCTGAGCAACGTCGTGCTGCGCCACGAGGTGTCGAGCCACGCCAACTCGACCGTCAGCGAGCAGTACCCGCACCTCATCTTTGAGGGGTTCAACAGCCAGCTTGGCGATCGTGTCAAGAGCGCCCTCAAGTTCCTCTTCCCCGTGCCCAAGGACGACTCGAAGCGCGTCATGACGTTTGCCAACCAGAGGGACTTTATCAGCTTCAGGTGCGTCCTTTCCCCTCTTCTCAGCGCGGCGCTATCCGACAGATTCGGAAGCAAGCCGACACGACGTAGGACACGCTTGCTGATCTTCTCCCTGCTCCCTCCCCTCCCCCTCCCCTGCTTCCCTCTTCACGACCCCGCGACGACCACGCAGGCACCACGTCTTTGTCAAGACGTCGCACCGCGAAGTGCAGCTGGCCGAGGTGGGACCGCGCTTCGAGATGCGGCCCTACGAGATCCGACAGGGCACCCTCGAGCAGTCCGAGGCCGACGTCGAATGGGTCCTCCGGCCCTACATGAACACGGCGCGAAAGCGTAACCAGCTCTAGCCCCTGAGCGCCTCGCCCCGTCCTCCCTCAGCGGCCGCTGCCTGCCCGTGTCGTGTTTCCTCGCATCCCCATCCTAGACTCGACCTCTTCCATCCCCTTGTACTTGTATGGCCCTTCCGATCGAATAGCCCTCCATCGCATTCCCATCCCCTCGACTTGACAAAAGCCAGACCAAGGCGGGGCGGAACGCGTGGATGCAGACGTGCTTTCGCAGTGAACGTGCTTTAAACAACGGGGGACGGGATGGGGAGGAGAGCTCCGAGCGAGGGAGGGGAAAGGGGAAAAAAGGATCAGAGGTGGCCATGGACAGAGGTCGCTCTAAGCTACGCGGGGATAGGTCAGGGGGCGGGAAGAGATGGAAAAGCTGCCTCTGCACGCGCACGTTCGAGTGAACGCGCCTCTACTCGTCGTCGACGAGCTTATCCGTCTTGTTGGACGACGACGACTGCTCCTGCTGCTTCTGCCCGTCCTCGTTGGAGGTATCCCGGGTCGACTTGTTCTCCTTTCCCTTGTCGCTCTCGTCCTCGTCGCTGGCCTTCTTGGATCGTCGGGCATAGTACTCCTTGATGATCTTGGGCGAGATGCGGTTGAGCTGCTCCTTAGGGAAGATGCGAAGCAGATCCCAGCCAATGTCGAGCGAGTTGAAAATGTGCCTGTTCTCGTAGGCGCCCTGCTTGATGAACTGTTGTCGGTCGACGTGTGGCACAGAGGAGAGAGAGGGGGCCGCTCGCAAGGTCAGTAGGGGGTAAAGGGGGCCCGCCTGGCTCAGTGAAGCTTTGGTCGCTGGTCGTCGGCCGACTCACCTTCTGCTCGAAGCCCTCCATGAACTCGATGGCCAGCTTGTCCTCGGCCGAGAGGGCCTCCTCGCCGACGACGGCCTTCATCGAGGCGGCGTCGCGTCCGGTGGCGTAGGCGGCGTACATCTGGTTGGACACGTCGCTGTGGTCGGCGCGCGTGTGCTTGGCGCCGATGGCGCTCTTCATCAGACGCGAGAGCGACGGCAGCACATTGATCGGCGGGTAGATCTGTCGGTTGTGGAGCTGGCGGTCGACGTAGATCTGGCCCTCGGTAATGTAGCCCGTCAGATCCGGGATGGGGTGCGTCATATCGTCGTTGGGCATCGTCAGGATGGGGATCTGGGTGATGGATCCGTTGCGGCCCGCCACACGGCCGGCGCGCTCGTAGATGGTGGACAAGTCGGTGTACATGTAACCTGGGTAGCCTCGTCGGCCGGGCACCTCCTCTCGCGCCGCCGACACCTCACGCAGCGCGTCGGCGTACGACGTCATGTCGGTCAGCACGACGAGGACGTGCTTCTCGAGCTGGTAGGCGTAGTACTCGGCCGTGGTGAGCGCCAGACGCGGCGTGATGATGCGCTCGATGGTGGGGTCGTTTGCGAGGTTGAGGAAGAGGGTGACGCGGTCCAGCGATCCGTTCTCCTCGAAGTCCTGCTTGAAGAAGCGTGCCGTCTCCATGTTGACACCCATGGCGGCAAAGACGATGCTGAAGTTGTCCTCGTGGTCGTCGTGGACGCCCTTTGTCGCGCCGGGGCGCTTGACCAGGCCGGCCTGACGGCAAATCTGGGCGGCGATCTCGTTGTGCGGCAGACCGGCGGCGGAGAAGATGGGGATCTTCTGTCCACGCGCGATCGAGTTCATGGTGTCGATGGTCGAGATGCCCGTCTGGATCATCTCCTCGGGGTACGTTCGGCTGTATGGGTTGATGGGCGATCCTGGCGATCGAAGAATGGCGATCGAAGAAAGGGGGACAAAGGCCACAAGAGGCGAGATGCCTCGGTGCATTAGCATGGCTGGCACGCAGGACGGCTCAGGACGGCTCCAGGGCTGACACGTGGTCCTTCGCCGGTTGGGCACACACTCACCATTGATGTCCAGGTAGTCTTCGGCAAAGACACGGGGTCCCTTGTCGATGGGCGCACCGGATCCGTTGAAGATGCGGCCGAGCATGTCTTCCGAGACGGGAAGCTTCATCGACGAGCCGGTAAACTCGATGTGGGTGTCCTTGACGTCGATGCCCGAGGTGCCCTCAAAGACCTGGACGATGGCCTTGTTGCCGGACACCTCGAGGACCTGGCCGCCCCTCTTTGAGCCGTCTGGGAGGGTGAGCGAGACAATCTCATTGTACGAGGGGAACTTGACATTGTCGAGGACGACGAGGGGGCCGTTGATGGCCGAGACGGTCTTGTAGTCGAGGCGCGGGTCGACAGAGTAGTTTTTGACGGCGGCCTGGGCATTGATGTCAAAGAGCTCCTTGTCGCTCATCCTGGGGTCGGACATGATGGGCGATCTGGCGGTCTGTGAGGTGCCGGCGTGGGTGTGATGTGTTGTCGGTGTGGTGGAGGTGGCGCGAGCTGGCGGGCGATGTGGCGGTGGTGTCCTGTCGAGGTTGTCCCGCTGGCGGATGCGATGGAGGCAGGGGCCGAGGGTGGATGAGACTGGTAGCCGTCCCGACGTGCAAAGACGGCAGGTGAAGGGTGCTTAGAGGGGCTGTGGCAACGACGTCGGTAGCAGCGGGCGGCGAAGTTATGGGATGGGATGGGAGGTGGTCGTCGGATGAGGCCGTCTGTGGAGATGTCGTCGTGGTCCTGCTCTTGGCCCCTCTCTCTGTGGCTCTCCTCTGCCTCTGTAGCTGGCTGGCTTGGCTGGCCTGGCTGGCTTTCCCCCCCTCTGCTAGGCCAAGGCTCTCGCTGTGGAGACTTGGCTGACGCCCGCTGCCCGCGCCCCTCTCGATGACCGATGGGCGGCCCATGCGTCGCCCGCCTTGCAGGCCTGCTGCCAAATTCCCCGTGGCTGCCTCAACAGGGGCCCAGGCCGTCGCCGCCGCTAGCCGCCAGTTTTTCTTCCCGGCCGGCAGAATGAGCCAGCGCCCAGCCAGCCCCGTCCCGCGTCGCCGCTTTGTCAACGTGCAAGCCCAGCGCTACAAGAGCCCCTCACACGGATCCCACCAGGGGTCTAGCGCGACCTCAGTGGATGATCTCGCTGACGAGCCAGAGCATGGTCTTGCTTTGGGCAGTGTTTTCCTTTCAACAACAGGCTACAGATGGAATGGACAGGAAGACTAGGGGGCAAAGGCGGGACCAGGGCTCCTGGGGGCGAACTCGCGAAACTGGGATCCATCAACCTCCGACTGGCCGCCAGACTACCATCCACCGCCGCTCTTCTCGACGGGGATCGTGCGGCTCGCCTCGCGCCGCTCCGACTTCTCCTTGGCCGCGGGTCCGACGGGGTCGTGCGACGGCGGCTGCAGGCCCTTGCTGTCCATCTCGCTCAGGATGTGGGTAAAGGCGTTTTCGACGCGCGCGTCCTTGAGCGCCGCAAACACGTCGAGGAAGTCCTCAAAGTGGAGCGCGCCCGTCTTGCCAAAGTCGACCTCGCTGACAATGCCCCGCAGCGTCCCGTCGTCGACGTTCTCGTAGCCGATCCGCTGCAGCACCTCCTTGAGGTCCTTGCTGTCGAGCTTGCCGTCGTTGTTGACGTCGAGCAGCTTGAACTTGGACCGCAGCTCGTCCATCTCCTCGGAGCTGAAAGACGAGCGCGCGGCAATCGCCAGGTTGTCCTTGTCGTCCAGGCTGGCCGCGCCGAGCGACGGCTGGCTGAGGCGCTTCTGCTTGCCCTCGCGGATCTTGCGCATCTCGTCGAGCGAGACGCTGCTCAGCTGCTGCACGCGGCCCGGCTGCAGGCCCATGCTTCCGAGGAAGTCGACGCTCTCGCTCCACTCCTTGCTCTTGCGGCCCTCGTCCCAGCCCAGCTCCTCGGCCATGACGTCAATCACCAGCGGCAGCGACTCGACCGTCGCCTCGACGTTGAGGAACGACAACCGCGTCCGGCGCGCGATAAAGTCCTGCGCCGTCGCCGCGTACTCGGAGCGGCAGGCGTACCGGATCTCGGCCTCGATGTAGGGGTAGAGCGGGTCGATGCGCTTGCCGTGGACGGGCCAGCGCTGTCCCGTGGGCTCGGCGATCGAGCACACGCTCCAGGCGCGGTCGCCGTAGGTGTTGGACAGGTGCTTGGCCACCTCGGTGTCCAGGCCGAACCTCTGCAGCAGCTTGACGTACATCGTCTTGGTCCAGCCATGGCTGCCCAGCAGGCGGGTCGACTTGGTCACACATCCGCGCTGCGGCTTGAGGTTGAACTCGGCAATCGCCCGGTCGACGGTCTGCTCGGCCATCTCGCGGTAGGTCGTCCACTTGCCGCCGGCAATCGTCAGCAGGCCGCTCTCGCTGACGTTGATCATGTGGTTGCGCACGAGGCTCTGGGTGTCCTTGGCGTCCGGGTCCTTGACCAGCGGGCGGAGACCGCTCCACGCGCTGAGGACGTCGCCGCGGCGCACCTTGATGTCCGGGCTGAGGTAATTGCGCACCTCGTCGAGGATCCACTGGATCTCCTCCTCCTTGGGCCTGGGGTGCGCCTCGACGGGTGCGGCCGTGTCGGTGGTGCCGGCAATCGTGTTGCCCTGCCACGGCAGGAAGAAGATGACACGGCCGTCGGACGTCTGCGGGTCAATCAGGCCCATGTCGCGCGGGCTGAAGTAGCCGGGCAGCGTGATGTGGACGCCCGAAGAGGCCGCGACAATCTCCTGGGCCGTCGGCGCGTCCATCTTGCGCAGCGAGTCGCTGAACGGACCCGTGGCGTTGATCAGGCCCTTGCACTTGACGTCCCACTCGTCGCCGGTCAGGACGTCGCGCAACCGAGCTCCGCAGATCTGGTCGGCCTTGCCCTGGACGGGCTTCTTGTGCAGCGCGATGACCTCGGTGTGGTTGGCGACGACGGCGCCGTGGTGGACGGCCGTCATTGCGAGCGCCACGTTCATCCGCGTGTCGTTGTGCTGGCCGTCGTAGTAGACGACGGCGCCGGTGAGGCCGGAAGCCTTGAGCATGGGGAACGCCTCGAGCGCCTTGCCCTTGCTGAGGACATAGGAGCTCTCCATGTTTTCGGAACCGGCGAGGATGTCGTACATCTTGGTGCCGGCCCAGAAGTAGGGGATCTGCCACCACGTGTAGACGGGGAGCATAATGGGCAGGTGGTCGCTGAGGTAGGGGGCGATCTTGAGGAACGTCTTCCTCTCGTGGAGGGCCTCGCGGACCATCTTGTACTGCTCGTAGTCGAGCTCAAAGACGGCCTTCTGGAGGTAGCGCACGCCGCCGTGGACAAGCTTGGTCGACTTGGACGAGGTGCCCGCGCCAAAGTCGTCCCTCTCGACCATGGCCACGCTGAGGCCGCGCGTGGCAGCGTCAACGGCGACACCGGCGCCGGTGGCACCTCCACCAACGACCAGCAGGTCGAAGCCCTCGCCGTCCTCGTCGCCGTGCCTCGAGGCCATCCTTCCGCCCGACTCTTCCGAGGCGGCGGGGCTGGGGCTGCTGCTCTTGGCGTCCTTTGCGGCGGAACGAAGGCTGGCGTTGTCGGCCTGCGCCCGCGATGCGACGGGTCGGAGGCTCTTTGCCGAGGACTGCTTGAGGGCCTCGATCATTTGAGCACGGGTCGGGGGAGACCAGAGCGGGTGCGGTCTCGTGTCTCCCGGCACCGTGTCGGGAGCCTCGGCGTAGATGGACGAGGAGAGCGAGTAGGTGGCGTAGGCGCCGACGACGGCGACCGTAGCGGCGGCGGCGCGGCTGGCCATCCTGCGGTTGTTGGCACCGGCAGCCTGCGACGACGAGGAGCTCGAGGCCAGGCGGACGCCCGCCCGGGGAATGGTGGTGAGGGGACGGCGGAACATGACGGTCGAAGGGGTCAGGAGAAGCGGGAGGAAGGATGAGATCCGCTACAGTGTGGCCCTCGGCGACTTTGTGTCGAGGATCGGTGGTGGTGGTGGTCGATCAGGAGACGAACAGGCCTCGAAGAAGGCGAGCGAGGCTAACTAGGTCGAGCTGGCTGGCGGCTGAGCGCAAGTTCGAGGAGGTCCAAGATGGAGTGCAGGGCCGTGCTCGATGCGGAGAGCGTGGAGGGAGCCTGGCAGAGTGAGTAGCAGGACGGAGTGGGGGGACAGGGAGGGCGGAGCGGGGGGGCTGCGCAGGACGCGGATGGTGGTGGGGGGATGGCAAGAAGCCATGGCGGGTCGAGTCTTGAACACCAAAGGATCTCGTAGCCGCATCGAACAGCCAGCCGGCTGAGAGGGCTTGGTCCTTCCTTGGCTTGCTTGCTCCGTTCCTGCCTCGCCCGCCCGCCCGCCCGCTTCTTGGCTTTGCCTTGCCGCCCTTCCGATGTTGGCCTGGGCGGGCCGTCGCCTTGGAACGAGGGAGCGTGGATCGGGACGGGCGGCTTGGCCAGGCGGGCGGTGGGAGCTCAGGCACACGCACGCGCGCTCTCGCCGCCAAAAAAAGAGCCAAGCAACCGGGCTAGGGCAGGGCTGCCTGCCTGCCTCTTCCGGGTTCGGCAGCCTGGCGTCATCTGCTGCAAACCCTTTTTTGCCCTGCCTGCGCTGCCCGCCTGCCTGTATGTCTGCCTGCTCTGGGCCTTCTGTCGGTCCGAGGGAAAAATTGAGCCGGCTGGCTGGCCTGTCCTCACCGCTGATGCCCGGCCTACCCTGTGACAGCCTTGCGTCGTCGTCGTGGACGGCGAGATTTCCCTGACGGGCGCCTGCCTCGAAGCTTTTCCCCCTCGCCGACACCGGCCTGCCCCTCCCCGTTCGCAACGCCTGCCTCTGGACCTCTCCGAAGAGGACATCGTAGTGGGCCGCGACACGGGCTCGAGCCAGGCGAAAGCGCTGCTTCGACGTGGGGTTGCCCTCCCATCTGACTGCTTGCTTGATTGCTTTGTGGCCGATAGCGACGAGCTCGTGGCAGGCCGGCTCTCGGTGTACGACGAGGAGCATGCAAGCTTTTCCGTGGCCGCTCATCGATCCTAGCCTGCCTGCCTGCCTGCTTTCACGACGACCGGCAGGCAGGCATGCAAAACGTGCCCGCCCAGCCTGCCTCGTGTCCGGCCGGCATCAGATCGGCATCCGGGCCCGCCTGTCCGAGCCCTTGCGTAGCTTGCTTCTTGATTGGCCTCCCAAGGCCTGCCTGTCACCGCGAACAAAGAACCGGAAAATTTTTCGAGTGGCAGCGGTACAGACGCACGCACAGCGAGCAGCCGGCCAAGGGCCGTCGTCGACGCCACCGCTGCGATGGATCTACTCGACGTCGGTGGCATGCAAGCGTGGGCGGCCCGCGAGCTTACGCTAGCCTGTCTGCCTGGTCTGCCGCATGTCGCCGTTGCACAAACGACGAGCCTGCAGCGGTACAAACGGTACCGGCAAGACCTCTATCTCGCAACTGATCGATCATCGCTCTCGCCTGGCAGACCTGCTCTGGCCGGCCTTTCCGACTTCGCCTGGACGTCGAACCTGCCAACCTGCCGTGAGACCAAGCAAGCAGATTCGGAACGCCTCCGTTCGTTGGCTAAGCTCGCCGTCCCGTTTCGATGGCACCTGCGCCAAGCCGAGAGACGCAACCCAAGCAGCGGCAGCGGCCAGCGGGGCTCGGAAGATTTCTCGAGGCGGCCGCGCGCGGTGGTGACCAGGCTGCTGCCACATGACTCCATCTGGCCCGGCGCTCGGTGCCTGGCCTGGCCTCGGCAGCTGGTCGATGGCGCCCGACGAGATCGCGGAACCGGCACGCGTACGGGAGCTCCGTCTGTTGTCCTTGATCCCCAAGGCCTGCCTCTGGCAGTCAGAGGGGCAAGCGCCGGCCTTTCCACGCCATGTCCCGCCTCGCCTCGCCTCGCATCGCTACGAACGGCGGCCTGGCCCGTGGCCCGAGATCAACGAGGTCCGTTATCGTTCGGATCGCTGCCGACTTTCCAGGCCGTCCGCCCTGGCGTGCTTGGCCTTTCCTGCCGCCCGTCGACTCGGATGCACAGTGATGCCGACAGGAGAGGAGCAGCCACGAGGAGTCGGCGAGATCGATTCGGATCGGATCGAATGACCGGGCGAGGGGCAGAGGCAGACAAGTACAACGGAAGAGAGGAGATCGGGAGGGAAGCGTCTCGATGTGACCGACGGTCGGGCTGAGCTGTGCGTCGTCGGGTGCGGAGCCGGGAGAGATGAAGATCGCGCAGGTAGCTACACCCGTGCTAGGCCCTGGCCGCCTCGGTGGTGGTGGCACTGGCGGTGGCCTCGGTGGCAGTCTCCTCCTTCTTGGCCGCCGCCTTCTCGTCCGCGACTTCTGCCTTTGCGGCGGCCTTCTGCTTCTCCTTTGCCTCCTTCTCCTCCTTTCGCTTGGCGGCACGTTGTTCGGCCCTGTATCGCAGCGCAGGCAGGTTCAGAGCAGCCGGTCGGACAAGGACGGGTCGCGCGCGGTCAGTAGATGAACCATCTCGTTTCGCACTGACAGCGCTGCACCACGACCGTGTGCTGCTACCGCCGTACTCACTCGAGCTCCCTCTCCTTGTTCCTAGCCTCCTTGATCTGTCGCCTCTGCTCGCGTCCTTGCTTGGTGAAAGCGCCGCTGAGCACCTTCTGACCTCCGACGTCGGCCAGGAGTCGGGTATCGTAGCTGTACGTCGAGCGGTCCGGTCGCTCGCTCCAGGGGACGCGCCAGCAGCAGCTGACGGCGGCGAGGACGTCGCACAGCACCACGACCAGCCCAAACAGGGCGCGCACCAGCACCGCGCTGATCTCGCCCACGGCTAGGCACAGCTGCTGCAGCACCTCGCCCGCGTAGATGAACGTCGATGCCAGGCAAGAAAAGACACAGCCCATTGTTGCGTGCGATGCAGGAGGAGGAGGGAGTTGGGGTATGAAGTCGTGTGAGGGCCGGTGCGCGGTGCTGTGGGTGAGGTATGTACTGTGAGGGGGTCGTGTGGGTCGAGCAGGTGCTTGTCGAGATGCTGTGGTTGTATGGGTCAACTGGGGTCGATGGGTCGATGGGTCGGTCGTTGGGGGCGTCGCAGTATCGTTAGTCGTAGGGTGTCGTCAAAGGGGTCGGGAGTGGGTTGATGGCTAGCTCGACGAGGAGGCTGCGAGGATCAGGCCGGGAATAGGTGGATGGATGGATGGGATGGAAGGAGGCGTCGAGCAAGCAGCGCAGCATGCCTCCGGGCCCTTATGTACGTGTACCTTCGTTCAGCCAGGAGGCAGACCGCGGCCATATAGGGGCGGCTTCGGACCCTGCTCGCATCCCTCGGGCGTCCTTCATCCCTTGGAGGCTGGTTCCGCTGCACTCCCCTCCTGGCCCTCGGCGCGTTCGACTGGCGTCGTACGGTGCGGTTCCCTGAGTCGCCGTGCGGTGGTGAGCCCTTCCATCGTGCCAGCATCACAACTCGGCCTCGGCCTTGAGCATGCCTGTCCCGGGGGCGGAGCGCAAGGTCGGCCAGCCGGCTTCGAGAAGCGAAATGAAGCCCCTGAGCGTGCAAGCGGGGTCAAACGCCCTCCACACGTTCGCGCCGGCGCCCGAAATACACCTGACCGTGCACACCCTCCCTGGTCGCGGCGATCCGAGCCTTGATTGCTGATGTTCGGCGAGCCTAGGCCGAGGCTAGTGCTGGGCTGAACCCTCGAGACGATGCACCTAAGAGTCAAGCAGTCCGTTTCGGGAACACGCTGCTGCTGACAGCGGCCATCGCTCGCCCTCAGATTGCGACAGTCGGCTGGCTGGGATGAAAGTTTGCTTGAACGCCGAACCGTTTGCCCCGAAGAGCGCTGCGCCGGTCATGCCTCCCATGCCTCGTGGGCCTTTGCGACGTCTGCGGGCTCGAGGGCGTCGTTGTCCTCAAGAGCGTGGATGAGGGTCGACGCGGCCCGCTTCTCGGACGCATCGAGCATGGCGACGACCATGCTGAACCGCTTGCAACGCGGCAGCGACGTGACCAGGCCCCTCACCACATCAAGCAGCCGAGAGGCGTCGGCCGACGACGGCAGCTTGACCGGTCTGGTGTTGGCGTCGGCACCGCTGTCGAGCTGCGCGATCATGCGCACGCTGGTGTCGAGCGAGAGCAGCAGCGAGGCCAGTAGCTCCGGTTCCAGCAGCGAGTCCATCGCGACCGGCAGAGTGGTAGCCTCGAGGCTGTGCAGGAAGCGGAGCTGCTGCTGCGCTATCTGCTGCTCCCTTGCGCCTGCACCCTGCTCGGCCGTCGCGCCGAGCCGCGAAGACTCCTTCCAGAGCCTCTGGAACTCGACGGCGTTCAGCCTTCGCGTCGAGCTCGGGCTGGTGAGCGGAGCCGGCTGACGACCTTGCAGTCTTGCTGCGCCGTCTGCAGCAACAGGAGCTGTACCGAAGCTGAGCGCCGAGGCCGTCTTGCGCGCTGCTGTCGAGACCGGCGCAGGCATGTTGCCAGTCTTGTCGACGTCCTTTTCCGCCAAAGGTGTGATCAGCGAAGTGGATGCCTTCGGTGCCTGCGCTGGCGTGGTTGGCGCCGGCTTGTCCACCACCCTTTTGGAAGCTACCTCGCGCAGGAACCCGCCCGTCTCTCCTGGCAGTCGGTGCGGTATCTTTGCGGGCGGATGTGGTGCGGGCCCATGCCTATCGGCCTCGATGGGGTCCTGCATGCCGACCTGCTGCAGGAATTTGCGAGCAGCCTCGACCGAAGAGCCCGGTGCGGTACCGGGCTGGTCGCTTCCCTGGCCACTGTTTGCCGGTGTGCCGATGATAGGGATGTCGGGCGGCTGAGGCAGGTCGAGGGGCGTTGTCCGTCTTGGCCTGCTCTGTTCGAGGGTGGCCTTGAGCGAGACGAGCTCTGCTTTTGCCTCGTTGTTTCTCGGGTCGAGCTCGAGCACCTGCTCAAAGTCTGGCGAGGGGAGCCGCACAGGTCGGAGGATGGACTGCGGACGTTAAGGACGAGACCTTGGCAGGGGAGCTACCGCATTGAGCGCCAGCTTGACGTACCCATCTGAGCGTCTACGAGGTTGCCTGCGCCTAGCCTGGCCTTTGCCCTTCGAAAGGTGGCCTTCACGTTACGCGGCGAGAGGCGGAGCGCGGTTGTGCAGTCTCGCTCTGCGTCGTGGAACTTTCCGAGCTTGAGGTAGGCCATGGCCCTGTTGAGGGGGATGGTGGGCTCGGTGGGGTCTGCCAAGTGTGCGGCGGCATAGTGGCCGACGGCGATGGCCCACTCGCCGCGGGCAAAGGCGCTGTTGCCCTTTGCCTTTTCTTGCTGCGCCTTTACCTTGTCCATGGTGGCGGCAGGTGGTGGCGGCGAGCGGTTGCCGGATCGAGGATGGGGTGAGCACGGGACAAAGGGGGGGTGCGGGTGAGGTGAGGATCCAAGGCAAAGATGGGGAGGTCGGGTTGGGGGAGGAGAGAGAGAGAGAAGAAAGAGAAGCGCACGGAACGGCGGCCTGCCTCCTCACCTGCGGGCCGGGTTGATCGCCGTATGTACGTTGGCCTCCACACTTTTTTGGCACTTTGCGCCGTCGGCCCAACCGCGGCGTCGTGACGAGGGCGAGGAGACGACGAGGCCTGGCCTGGCCTGGCCAAACGCCTGCACTCTTGGCATGCGGTCGGCCGGTGACTTTTTGGGTTGGCAGGTGCGCCCGGCTGGCTGGCTGGCTGGCGGGCGGGCGGCTGCTTGGCACAGGCCGCTGCCCTGCTCGCCTTCATCATCATCATCATCATCATCATCGCCCGTCGCCACCACCATCTCACTCATCGCACCCTGGCCTGCCTCCTAGTTTCTTTGCACGTCCTGTTCCACCCCCCTTGTCCGCTTCCTCGCATCTCATTCGTCTGCCCGCTGCGCCTTTCGTCTTGAATCCTCCGCAAGCCATCGCCCTCGCCATCTCCCTTCACCACGCCATCGAGCCCCACCACCGTCGCCATAATTCGCGCTTTGACAGCCACCCTCGTCCCTCTCGTCCCCCCTCGTCCCTTGGATCGCCTGCTGCACCTTCGTCCTCGTATCGCCCCGCCGCCCGTCTAATCGCCTTGCACCTCGACCAGCTGGCAGGCAACAGCGGTCAACACCCTCTTTGCGCTCGCTTCTCGACGTAGGACAGTTGCAAGTTCCCCTTCCACCCTCTGCTACCAGCTCTCTGTCGCATTTGCTGCCATCGAGGTCCGACGCCTGACACTAGCCACAAGTCCTGCTGCTGCTGCTGCTGCTGCTGCCGAAGAAGCTGCCAACGAAGCTGCCGTCCTAAGACATGTCGTCGTCGTCGTCGGGCCCGTCGCTGCCCCGGCAATCATCCCCCATCAAGGTCCCTGCGAGCGCAGAAGACTCCAATGTCAGCGACACCGCACCCATGAGCATATCGCCTATCGCACACCATGGACATCGCCCCCTCGAGCAATACAGCCATGGTCCTGCCAGCGCTCGCCCACCGACCGCTCAGGTCGGCAGCGCCGCCAGCATGCTCAGGGCAGCCTCGGCCATGGCCGCCCAGGCGAGCTCGGGCGCAGAGGGCCTTCAGGCCGTCAGCTCTGCCCTCCTCAGCCAGGCAAAGGCACAGGTCATCGCAGGCGGCATCACCGATGCAGCCAACACCGACCAGCACCCAATCTCGGCCGTTGCGGCGGGCCTGGCCCCCGAAATCGCGGGCCAGGCGACGCAGATGGCGCGCAACCTCAGCGATAGCACCCAGTACTCGGCCGCCCTCAGCGCCCGCATCGCCACGGCCCTGCATTCGCAGACCGACGCTCCGGGATCCTTGTGGGCGCACGGCAGTCCTGCACTGACGGCCATGCAGGCCACCACAGGCGCTGCAGAGGTCCAGATGGGACAGATCGCCGCTCGCGCTGCCGTCAAGGAAGCCGAGAGCCAGCTACGGGCCCAGGCCATCCTCCGCACCGCCGTCTCGTCGGCGCCGCAGATCTCGGGCTCACTGGCCCAGAGGCGGGGCTCCCACGGCCCACTCGCCGCAACGCAGGCTCGGGGCCCCTCATCCGGCCCGACTGCTGCGGTTGCCGCGTCGGCCCCGTCCACCTATCCGACCGCGTCGGCGGCGGCGGCGTCGGTATCGGCCTTCGACTACCTCCGGCACCTTGGCCTCGGCCACATTGCCATTCCTTCGGCCGGCCTCGAGCAGGCGTGGGGCAGGAGCCCCGCGGCGAGCGGCGAAGGCGGTTCCAGAATCTGGGACTCGACCAACCCGACCATGGGCTTCAGCCTGAGCGGCGTGCCCAGCATGCCACGTGAGTGCGCCGTGCAAAAAAGTGGCCGAGCTCGTGATCCTGCCGCTTCACTGACGTCTTGTGCCTGCCCGATGCCGTCCCGACGCAACTGCAGTGATGCCGACGCCGCCCTTGCAGATGCTGCCGCCGCCCGTGTCGCCGTCGTTCCGAAAGCGAAGAACGCGTGGCAAGTACTGGCTGCCCCATCACAGCAGGCTGGCTTCCCACAGCCTCGACGACGAGAGCGCGGGCGGCGACGGGGGCATCGACGAATCGCAACCCAACATGATGTCGGCCGTCCCCTACCCTTTCCAGGTGGTGCAGACGCCCGGCGGCACCGCCCGGCCCGGCTGGTGGGTGCCGCCCTCTGAGGTCTCTTCCGAGCAGCAGCGGAGGGTCAAGAAGAGCGCGCGGCGGGATTCGTCGACTCCGGACCGCAGCGAGGATCCGCAGCAGTCGCTCGAGCGGGTGCCGAAGACGATCGACGAAGAGGACGAGGACCAGCTGCCCTTTTTCCAGCCGACCTTCCGCGACTTCACCAGCGACGAATACGCCGCGCTCGCATCGGCGGCCGCATATGCCACCGCTGCGCTCACATCGGCCAGCTCGGCGACTGGCAAACCTCACGAGCCCGGCAGCGGTCCTCGGTGGAGGTCGCTCGAAGCCTCGGAGCAGGAGATGATCGCTGCACAGCTGCGTGCCTGGGCTGGTCTCGAAGGGCCCGAGAAGCAGGCCGAGGCGCGCGAAGAGCTCGAAAAGAGGCAGATCCAGCTGATCAGCGAGGCGCGGCAGGCGCCATCGCCGCTTCCCGGCGCATCGGCAGCCGGCGGCCTCGAGCAGCCCAGCAGCGCCAGCAGTTTCTTCCCGCCAGACTTTGCGAGCCACTACCGCACCCAGCTGCAGGCGCTGGCCGAGGGCTACTATGCTCGACTCCACAGCGAAGGCCTCCGCGAGGGCCAATGGGCTGACCCGAGCCAGGCAGACGGACCTCCATCGTCTGGAGCCCTCTCCTCACTCAACGTCAAGGCGCCCCGCGAGCCAGAGACTGTGCTGATCGACCGCCACTCCAGCCATGGCAGCCTTGCGATGGAAGGCATCGTGCCTCAGGCCGCGCTCCCGGGATCTGCCCAGCCCAACGAGCCACCGATTGCGACGCCCACGCTCGGCCCGGGCGCCCAGGACCCGGTCAAGCTGCTGACGGCGGCCTCGAATGCCGCCGGGACCGAAGTCACGGCTCCCGAGGTACGCGACCAGCTCCTCCAGTACGCCCACTCGCTCTACTCGACTGGCAACCGCGACGCCCCGCCCGACGCCAGGGGCACCGACCGGCTGCACCCGAGCCTGCTTCCGCTCCTCCACACGCTGCACAAGCTCCATCCCAGGCACCTGCCCACGCTGCTGCTCCTCTCCTGCGCCTACTATGCTGCCGAGAACCACGCCGGCTCGCTGTGGTACAACAACCAGATCCTCCGCATCGACCCCAACTATGTCGAGAGCATGAGCAACATTGGCACCACTCTCCGTGCCCTTGGCCGGTGGAAGGAGGCAGAGACCTGGTGGTGGCGAGCGATCAAGCTGCGGCCCGGCTACTGGGACGCCTACGAGAACCTGCTCGGCGTCATGTGCTCGCCCGTCAGCCAGACCAAGAGCGAAGGGCTCGAGGTACCGTCTGGGGAGACGGCATCCGCCGCGCCCGAACGCGGCTCCCAGGCGGTCGAGGTGATTGAGCCGCGCTTCGCCGCCGCACTGAAGCTGTGCGAGTACGTCGAGAGCTACATTGTTCCCAGGCGCAGCACCCCGGCCACCGGCCTGCCGCAGCACGCGCCCTCGCACCTGCCGTTGACGCAGATCCCCCGCCTTCAGAACCTGTACTACGCCAAAGGTGAGTGCCAAGGCTGCATGACAGCGAGGCGGGTCTTCTGCGTGCATTCTGCTGTCTCCCCGGTCGAGGCTTGCGCTGACGACCGACCTGATACCTTGTATTCGAATGATCATCCTGCGCAGGCAACCTGAAGTACGTGCTGCCCGAGTGGGGCCCGGTCCCCGCCGCTACCGAGTACCAAAAGTCGATCGAGATCGTCTTGTCGCCGTCAGAGCACGACCTATATTCGCTTCGCGATCTGGTCGTTGCCACCTGCGTTGTCGGTGTCCTGTCGATGGGCGCGATGCTGCCGGGCTCGGCCGCGGCCGCGGCGGCCGTTCAAGTGGCGACGGCCATCGGTATCGATCCTGCGAACCCGGATCAGGCGGCGCTCGTGTCGACGGGCATGTACGCCGCGCTGCGACCCGGCGGTGGCATCCTCGCGCTCGTCCGTGACAGCGGCGATCGGATCGTCCAGACGCTTCTGCAGCTGGGCGGTGGGCAGCTGCCCATGGTCATGGTCCTGCCCGAGGTGGCGAGGCGCTTCTGCGACGTCCTCTTTGCCGAGACTGGAGGCGTGCTGCCCTCGATGGCGCCGCGAGGAGCGGCGGGGGCAACGCAGGAGACTCCGGCCGTTCAGCAGGCTCGGAAGCAGGCGGCACAGACCAGCTCGACGATCCTGCTGACGCTGGCCAAGCTCTTCCAGGACTCGACGTCGAATCCGGTCCCCGGCCCCCACGGCCCTCTGACGCTTGGCGGCATCCCGCCTTCGGTCTCGCTGCTGCTGCCGCTCTACTACCTATCTATCTCGATGCACCCCTCGGCCTCGACCTGCAACAACCTTGGCATCCTGCTGTCGACCATCCCCGTCGTCACCATGGTTGTCAACCCGGCCGGCCAGCACCAGCAGCTCAACGGCCAGGCACTCGCCATGCAGTTCTACACGCACGGCCTTCAGCTCGACCCGCGGCACCCGCACATCTACACCAACCTCGGCAGCCTGCTCAAGGACCTTGGCCACCTGCACGAGGCCATCAAGATGTATGAAAAGGCCGTCGAGTGCAACCCGACGTTTGACGTCGCGCTGGCCAACCTCGGCAACGCGATCAAGGACCAGGGACGCACCCAGGACTCGATCGTCTACTATCGCCGCGCCGTAGAGGTTAATCCGCACTTCCCCGAGGCCCTGTGCGGCCTGGTCAACGCGCTTCTGGCGGTCTGCGACTGGCGCGAGGTCTACTCGGACGACCCGGCCCGGCCTGGCTGGATGGACAGCGTTTCGAAGCTCGTCACCAAGCAGCTTCGCGAGGGTTGTCAGTACGGTGGCGGAGCGCTCCAGTCCGAGGGCCAGCTAGGCGACTGGGTGTCGGCCGTCGTCACGGCGCTAGCGGACCGCCGGGAGGCTGCCGCCAGCATGTGGGCTGCCAAACTTGGCCAGTTCTACCAGCCGTTTGATCGCATGGAGTCGCTGGTGTGCGAGGGCGGCTTCGTGATCCGGCTGATGGAGCGCCTGATGCGCCGGGTCCAGCGCAAGTGGTACCTCGACGCCTACGGCCCGCTCGCCTCGTCTTCCGAGGCCCAGCTGCGGGTGCAGACGACGCCGGCGGAGCGCCAGCGATACGCCAAGCTCAAGCTGCCCGCCTGCCTGGTGGCCCCGGCCGTGCCGACGGTGCTGCCCTTCCACACGTTCACCTATCCGCTCTCGGCCCGCCAGATCCGGCTCATCTGCCACCGTAACGCGCTGCGCATCTCTCAGGGCACGCTGACGCAGATGTGGCTCCCGGACCACGTCTACCCTCCGCCCTCGCCGCCGGCGCCCAAGATCAACGTCGGCTACATCTCGTCCGACTTTAACAACCACCCGCTGGCCCACCTGATGCAGTCGGTGTTCGGCTTCCACGACCTCGAGCGCTTCAACGTCTTCCTCTACGCCACCACCGCCTCCGACAGCAGCCCGTACCGCGCCAAAATCGAGCGCGAGGCCCAGCACTTTGTCGACGTCTCGTCCTGGTCCCACCAGCAGATCGTCGAGCGCGTCATCGCCGACAACATCCACGTCCTCATGAACCTCAACGGCTATACCAAGGGCGCCCGCAACGAGGTGTTTGCCGCGCGCCCCTGCCCGGTGCAGATGCAGTTCATGGGTTTCGCCGGAAGCATGGCCGCTGGCTGGACGGACTGGGTCGTGGCCGATCCCGTCGTGTGCCCGCCCGAGACGACCGCCGTCGAGCGATGGAGGCAGGCGCGCGCGACGGGCCAGCTGGCGCAACGGGCGCGCCTGACGGACCTGGGCGCCGACCTGGACCCCGAGGAGCCGAGCGAGGACTGGCTCTACATGGACCGCTTCCTCTACATGCCCCACTCGTACTTTGTCAACGACCACGCGCAGGGCTTCCGCGAGCCCGCGACGCGCCAGGGCGCCGACGGCGGCATCGTCCACCCGCACCAGATGAGCGACGAAGAGGCGTGGGCCGAGGAGGAGCAGAAGCGGTACGCGATGCGCAAGCAGCTCTTTCCGGACCTGCCGGACGACTACATCGTCTTTGCCGACTTCAACCAGCTGTACAAGTGCGACCCAATGCTCTTCCGGCTCTGGCTGCGCATCCTGCAGCGGGTGCCCAAGTCGATCCTCTGGCTGCTGCGCTTCCCGGCGTCGGGCGAGCCGCACCTGCTGCAGGAGGCACGCAAGCACGCCGGCGACGAGGTGGCGGCGCGCGTCATCTTTACCGACGTGGCGCCCAAGCACATCCACATCCACCGCGGTCGCATCGCCGACCTCTTCCTCGACACGACCGAATGCAACGCCCACACGACGGCGGCCGACATCCTGTGGTCCGGCACGCCGGTGCTCACGTGGCCGCGCCACCTGCACAAGATGTGCTCGCGCGTCGCCGCCAGCATCGTCCGCGCCACTGGCTTCGGTCCGCAGATGGAGGTCGACTCGGAGCGCGCCTACGAGGACCGCGCCGTGGCGCTCGCCGAGAGCCTGCGCTACACGTACGTCGACGCGCAGGGCAAGGCGCTGCCGACGCCCGACATCGACGCCGCCGCGGCACCAAAGAGGATGG